GATGTGACAGTTTTGGGGTGTCACAGCATGGGGGGGTGGTGACACCGATTTGGGGCTGTCACAACAAGGGGTGGTGACACTGTGGCACTGTTTTGGAGGTGTCACAGTACAGGGAGGTGACAATTTGGGGCTGCCACAGCATGGGGAGGGGTTGGTGACAGAGTTTGGGGGTCACAGCACAGGTAGGTGACAGTTTTGGGGTGTTAGAGCGTGAAGGGGAGGTGACACCAATTTGGGGGTGTCACAGCATGGGGGGGTGACAGTTTGGGGGTGTCACAGCATGACGGGGTGGTGACACTGTGGAACAATTTTTGGAGGTGTCCCAGTACAGGGAGGTGACAGTTTTGGGGTGTCACATCAGGGGGTGGCGCTGTTTTTGGGGCTGTCACAGCATGGTGAGGTGACACAGTTTGGGGGTGTCACAGCACAAGTAGGTGACAGTTTTGGGGTGACACAGCACAGGTAGGTGACAGTTTTGGGGTGACACAGCATGGTGAGGTGACACAGTTTGGGGGTGTCACAGCATGGGGGGGGTGACACAGTTTGGGGGTGTCACCTGTCCCCCCCCCAGGTCCTGTTTGTGGAGTCCATCTGTGACGACCCCACCATCATCGAGGAGAACATCAAGGTGACACCCTGGGGTGTGACAATGGGACATGGAGGTGACAATGGGGGCTGAAGGTGACAATGGGACATGGAGGTGACAACGGGGACATGGAGGTGACAATTGGGACATGGAGTGACAATGGGACATGGAGTGACAACAGGGACATGGAGGTGACAACGGGGGCATGGAGGTGACAACGGGGACATGGAGGTGACAATGGGGGCTGAAGGTGACAGCTGGGACATGGAGGTGACACCGGGGACATGGTGACAATGGGACATGGAGGTGACAATGGGGGCTGAGGGTGACAATGGGACATGGAGGTGACAACAGGGACATGGAGGTGACAATGGGGGCTGAAGGTGACAATGAGGACGTGGAGGTGACAATGGGGGCTGAAGGTGACAATGGGACATGGAGGTGACAACGGGGACATGGAGGTGACAATGGGGGCTGAAGGGGACAATGGGACATGGAGGTGACAGCAGGGACATGGAGGTGACAATGGGGACATGGAGGTGACAATGGGGGCTGAAGGTGACAATGGGGGCTGAGGGTGACCATGGGGACATGGAGGTGACAACAGGACATGGAGGTGACAGCTGGGACATGGAAGTGACAATGGGGGCTGAAGGTGACAACGGGGACATGGAGGTGACAATGGGGGACATGGAGGTGACAATTGGAGCCCAGAAATGAAAAGTGAGGCCTGGAAGTGACAACTGGGGCTGGGAGGTGACAATTGGGGCCTAAAGGTGACAGCTGGGATCTGGAGGTGACAACAGGGACATGGAGGGGACAGCTGTGCCTGGGAGGTGACAACAAGAACATGGAGGTGACAATTGGGATCTGGAGATGACAATTGAGGCCTGGAGGTGACAGCGGGGACGTGGAGGTGACAACAAGGACCTGAAGGTGACAATTGTGGCTGGGAGGTGACAACAAGGACATGGAGGTGACAATTGGGATCTGGAGATGACAACAGGGATCTCAAGGTGACAATTGAGACCGGGAGGTGACAACTGGAGCTGGGAGGTGACAAGAAAGACCAGGAGGTCACAACAAGGACCTGGACATAACAGCTGTGGCCGGGAGGTGACAACGGGGCCCTGGAGGTGACAACAGGGACATGGAGGTGACAATGGGGATCTGGAGGTGACAATTAAGGCCTGGAGGTGACAACGGGGACATGGAAGTGACAACTGGAGCCAGGAGGTGACAACTGGGACATGGAAGTGACAGTTGTGCCTGGGAGGTGACAACAAGAACATGGAGGTGACAATTGGGATCTGGAGGTGACAATTGAGGCCTGGAGGTGACAACAAGGACTTGAAGGTGACAACTGGGG